AGGTGTCAGAGCTGCCCCCATTGGACCTGTCCGCATATACAACAGCGCTCAGCCTTGGTTCAGGTGTTCCATTTTTTGGGATGAATCGGTTTTTATTTGAGTGATTTGGGGTCTGAAATACGCTGGTTGTTATGTTTAGAGAAAGTCCTTCTGAGTTCCTCTTGGATATATCCAAGAACTCCAACTCATAGGTTTAAAAATGTTTCCAGAAAAACTGAGGAAAAAAAAAAGTTCAATTTCTTTCTAAAACTGAACTTTTCTTAGTTGCCATGACGCAGTTGACTGAGTATAAGCTGAGGCATTTCACAATGGATGACAACAGAACTTCAAATCGAGTGACAAGAGAGTTACTCATGAATTTTTGTTAATAACGAGATGTTGTAATCGACTCTGACAAGATTCCCGTCTCTACTACTGGAGGAATATTCCCACAGCCTGCTGCTGCCACCACCATGTATCTAAGAAGAAAAAGTAAAGACTTTCTCCCTGATCTGTCTGCTTTGCTATTTGGTCTTTATGATGCATTATTTACACCAACACAGATGGATTTAGTTTAGATGACACAGACATAGCCTCTATTTATGAATAATTGACTCTATTTTATGGGAAAATACTTTTTCAGGTGGATACCTATGAATGAAAGGTTTTTATCATTTAAAAATGTTGAGAAACTTGTTTCCTTATCTATGCGTTTGCATAGCCTTAACCTAAAACGCACCCTGCTGTGATTTCAACTAATGGAGAGAAAGTAGAAACACCTAAGGAAGGCGGGTAAATAGTTACAGAAAAACATTTTCTCTATGATCTCACTGGCGGAAAGTCACTTTCCAAATCTCCTGCAATGTCTGATTCTTAGAGTTAATTATTCACAGTCTGCACTGATAAAGCACAGACGTATCATTTTTATAATCCACAGCCATGGTAACTTTTAAACAAAGCAGAGTTTGAAATCAAATGGATTTGCTCTGATGAGATAGAGCCGAGACGGTTGGTTTCACTCAGAGGTTAGAGGGTGAAACTAAAAATGAAAGGCTGGATGAGGCAGCTTTTCATCACACCAACTCAATCCGTGTAAAAATGTGAGGGGGGGCGTCAGGCTCTATAATGAAAACTGAGTAAGAGGGCAGACAGAGCTGTTGGAAGGATGACATAGAAAATGTAATTTAGAGACATGATATTTAGATAATGGAAGGGTGGTGAGTGGGTGTTTCATCATGATGAGAGCTTTAAAGGCAGTAAGAGCAAAAAAAAACATGTTTAGGCACTTAGCTGACAGAGCGGAGGAGGAATAAATCACTGAAATTGCTGCAGTCAAATGGCCTGCGACTGCCTGGGAAAGTTTTGTCAATAAGAAAAAAGAAATAAAAAAAACTCACCAAAAGATGAAGACGTAATCTTTAACATGTCGTGCATTTTTTTTATTTTATTTCTGGACTATATAAAAGTGTAGAAGTACCTAACAGAAATCCATCTGATCCCAAAAGGCTTGACGGATTCAGACAAAGAGGGAAACTTTTAAAACAGAGCCATTTTTTTTTCACAGGTCATAGCAAAGAAAATAGTAAAGTAAACTTTCAATGGTCTTTGTACTGATTTGTGCTATGCAAATAAACATGCCTTGCTTATGTCATTGAATCTGCAGGGTTTGCCTCAACAGGACGAACCTTGATTTTCAGTCGCAGTGCTTTATTTATTTTGGAAAGCCGAACAAAGCTTCTTGTGCCCCTGGGTCCTTCAGATCCTCAGAGGTGCTTCTACTTCAGGGAATCCAGGAGCTGCAGCTGAATTATGGCCTCTTTCTATCGAGCTAAAGGTAAGGAGAGACAATGCTCTGGAGTTCTGACAGGACTAGCGAGAAAGGACTGGCAGAGAGCACCAGAAGAGGGCAAAGCGGTCAGTCGTGCACCACTCTGGAGCTAAGGAACCACGGCCAGAGATTGGAGAAGTCCACCAGGCAGAGAGAGCACCAGACTCACTCTGGAGGCTAATAGCGGGAGATTGAAGGTGGACAGCGAACCATCGGGGAAGTTCTCTGTGTAGAGAGCACCAAACCCTATGACTGAGCTGAAGCTAAAGGAGAACAATTAACATCCCTTCTATGGCTAAATTAAAACTGTTTTTTTAAACCTAGAAACCTCTTCAGAGCATTCCCTACTTTATCCTTTCTCAGCATAATTTTCTCCATCTTCCATTTTTTTGCATAAAGCCAAACTCACATTTACTTCCTGATTATATTCGCATTGCAAAAACCAAACAAATTTCGCCTTGCATTCTTATAAGTGTGGCGGTGCTCCTGTATCACTTTGTTCAACTAAAAAGTTTCTTTTGCCTCTTAGCGCCTCTAAGCCATCCTCTATATGGGAACTACAGTCAAGTTGTTCACTCAGGGAGCAAAACTGAACGCGGGGGATACCGCTTTTCTTCTCAGCTGGTAGTTTAAATGTTTGGTTTGGTTAGCATTAGCGGAACTGTCAACCGTCTGGCAAATGGAACAAAGAACAGGTGAGCGCAACTGCATCACTTACTTGCCAGGAGGAATTAAACTTGTTGCTCCTTTTAGGAAGGCTCTTTTATGATGGAGTTGAAAAAAAATTAAAATGAAGTTGAATTGATTTGTAAACTATTGTTGGATTTATTACACAAGTTAATAGATCTATTGTTACTGGAGTTACAACAGACTTTCACTGTGTAGCATAAAAAAGACACATAATAATCAAACTATTTCAATGCTGCTTAGTCCTGGCGAGAAATCACAATTCTTTGTTAGCTTTGTTCTTAATTTTGAGAAAAAAGTTTAACTTTTGTTTTGCAATAGCAGCAATGATTCTGTTGTCAAATTAGGAAAACATGTCAATTTTAATGAGCTGTTCTAGCTGTTTGGCAGGAAACAGCCGCAAGGCAAGAGAGAGGCCCTCAGGAAGGTAAATCAACATGGAGTTTTGCAAGAGGCTGGATTTTTTTTCTCCACGCATTAAAGCCTGAAAATGGAAAAAACAAAATACAGACAAGCAGGGACAAGAGTCGCTGTGAGCAAAGTGACTTTTAAACAGACAAATCAAGTTTCCAGTGAATTGAAGGGAAGCAGTCGGGGAAATGGGCTAAAAAGACGATGCTAAAACATCCTTTGGTGCCATTACAGCAAAGGAGATCATTGTAAAAATGACAGGAGAAATTGCCTCAATCTAACATAGAAAGGGCAATAATACAGTAATTCAGGATGATGTAAGCATAGCTGATGATAAAATAGTAAAATAATTAGCATATAAGGCTCGAACCAGGAAAGCTCAAAATTAAACAACGGTTCTGTCTTTACTATCAAACTTCAAAGCCTGAAGGAATTAAATGCTCAGAAAAACTGCAGCTAAGGTTAAATGTGTTTCTTCCTCAGAATATAATAAAAAGGATGTACTAAACCACAGATTTAAGTTTTAAAGTCAACGTAAAACATTTATTTTACTAAAGAATTTAGAAAGGTACCTTAAACCCCCCCTCTTCCCCGGCCCCCAAAGACCTTGGACGTATTCAGCAGACCTGGTCTACTGCCGCAAACACACATTTCCCAGGGGCCATCCAAGACGGGGCCCCAAGTTTAACAACAAAGAATGAAGGAGGAAAGAACCCCCCCCTTAACAGAAGCTAGAAAAGTTGCAAGACTTTCTCTCTGCTCAGACTAAACGTTAAGAAGCTGGATTAGAGGTGAAGTTGTAGTGAGTAATAGATCTGCATTCTGCAAAAAAAGGAAAAGTGAAAACGTGTTCAGAAGCAAGAGACTCTATCCGTCCACGCAGCAGGATTAGTTTACTCTACAAGATTTCTTAAATGAAGATCTAAGTGTTAATTTGGGCTCTTTAAATGAGAACTCTTAAAACAAGAAACTAATGCTTCTAAATCAGAGTTGGTTTTGTTATTTATTTTTGTAAGAATCAAAGAAATAGCAGCTCATGAATTGCAAAACATTAAATATAGCTCGATTTTCATCGAAACAAATGCATGTTTTCTTGTTTCAAGCAGGTGAGACGATTTGAAAATTAAATTAGGCGTTTATAATAAAAAAAGAACTCCATTATCTTACTTCTAATGTATATTTAATTACTCATATTTTAAGGGCAATAATAGCAATTTCATTAGCAGATCATCATAATTATCTGCTCAAATTAACGGCAAATGTACTTATTTTAAGATCAAATTTTAAAAATAATTCAAGGTAGGTTGTCTGGAACAGTGGTTCTAAATAATAATAGCATTAAATAATATAATGATTAAAACTAAAATATCAGCTTTTAATACTGGCTGGAACCTAAAACCATTGGCTGATTTGATGGTTTTAATGAAAAGTTGCACCATCGAACGTCTGCCTGTGTGCATCAGTTCAAAGCCTGCAGAGTGAAGTTTGACATCTGGAAAGCCGGTAAATATGTGCAAGAAAAAGATTTAATTTGCCTTTCAATCAACAATGAGCCATTACTCCATTTCTCTTTTGCATTAGATCTAAAATAAAAACAATCCTTCGTATGTTGGAGCTGCTGTGATCTGTTCATGTTGCATCATCAGTGTGATCAGGTGTGATAAATACACTTCAAATATAGAAGATCTTGACTCCTTTATTACTTCACTTGGTCATATTTTTTATTTTTTTACAGAGTCCATTTTAGTAATAAACTAAAACTAAGCTCATGTCTTTAATTCCCGCTTGCCTTCAGGTTCACAGTCAGGATCACAGAGAAGCACATCCTCACACACACATCCATCTTCTCTCACATTATGAGGCAAAACGGTGTCAAACAACCATGTGTAGCTTGAAGATCTTAAGAGAAACACCACCCTCTTGTGGAAAGAAGCAGGAATTACAAGTAACAATATCTCAGGTTAACTGCTTCTCATAATCCAATCTCCTCCTTTTCTAAATCTATAAAGGTTTGTCCCTCATGGTAATCTGGACCAGTTTTTTTTTACAGACATCATTTCCTGTCCTACAGAGAAAACGTACAGAGAGCCTGAAGGTTTATATAAGGATAGATTCATAAAGCCATCACATTTTTACCAGAGAAAATAAGAGAATGTAAAACAAAATGAATGAAAATGGTGAAACGCCCATCGCTGGACAGATCCCCGGCTGAAGACGAGAGTCTAGAGATGAGTGTTTGAGAGTTGGCTAGGTGGGACTGAGGCAGCGTCTGCCCGACACGCCAGGAGCTCAGATAACAGCACCGTGATGGCGGCGTACAGCTTTGGGGGGGCGGGGCTTCACTGTCCAATGACTTTGCTGACGAATGAGTCCAACTGATCATCATCTTTGATGCCCACGAAGCGGTCGATGATGTCTCCTCCCCTCATGGCGATGACTGTAGGAACAGCAGACACCTGGAAAGACAGAAATAAGTCCAACACTCAACTGGATCCATTTAGGAATGCCGGCCATACACTAGGTGTTTTTAACGTTGCACGCAGCTACAGCTCACACTGTACAACGAAGCGCAGGGTTTCATCCTACAGTGTGAGTTCACAGCTCACAATGTATGTTCTCACACAGTGTGACCCGACTATCTGATGCCATCTACCTGCTCACACTGTACGTCTAAAAACCATGTCAGACTCAGCTCCGCAGTGAGGAAGCCAAACGAAGAGAAAGAGGAATATGAAGCTCACTAGAGTGAAACGCGCTGCCTTGGCAGTTTCTGCAATTTTTTGCTGAAAGTCCTAAAAAGAAAAGGCGACGACGTATTTGGACAAAGAAGTGGCTGAGCAAACATGGCTACTACGGTCTACATTTCACTGGCACCCCCGCCATTCTTCTGTGTTTTAATCTGAGAGGAGAAGAATCCTTGTTTGTGCATGCTCACTGAGCGATTTAGTCACCACCTTATGACGGTCGAATGAATTTAAGCATGTTTTATTTTCTCCCGACCTCACGGTTCCTGATGGGGAATTGGTCGTGAGAGTTTGATCGCCCCTCGTTACCCCCTGTTAGGGGTGTAAATAATCGTTTTGTATCGATGCATCAATCCAACAGCTGACGATCCGATGCATCGACACGTCCGCAAGAGTATCGATTCATGTTTTTTCTTTCCTCCGGTCTATTTTTATCCACTTGCTACTGGACATACAGTGGGGCAAAAAAGTATTTAGTCAGCCACCAATAGTGCAAGTTCTCCCACTCAAAAAGATGAGAGAGGCCGGTAATTTTCATCATAGATATACCTCAACTATGAGAGACAAAATGAGAAAAAAAAATCCAGAAAATCACATTGTCTGATTTTTAAAGAATTTATTTGCAAAATAAGGTGGAAAATAAGTATTTGGTCAGTTTCAAACAAGCAAGATTTCTGGCTCTCACAGACCTGTAACTTCTTCTGTAAGAGGCTCCTCTGTCCTCCACTCGTTACCTTCATTAATGGCACCTGTTTGAACCCGTTATCAGTATAAAAGACACCTGTCCACAACCTCAAACAGTCACACTCTAAACTCCACCATGGCCAAAACTAGAGAGCTGTCAAAGGACACCAGAAACAAAATATAGACCTGCACCAGGCTGGGAAGTCTGAATCTGCAATAGGTAAACAGCTTGGTGTGAAGAAATCAACTGTGGGATCAATTATTAGAAAATGGAAAACATACAAGACCACTGATGATCTTCCTCGATCTGGGGCTCCATGCAAGATCTCACCCCGTGGGGTCAAAATGATCACAAGAACGGTGAGTAAAAATCCCAGAACCACACGGGGGGACCTAGTGAATGACCTGCAGAGAGCTGGGACCAAAGTAACAAAGGCTACCATCAGTAACGCACTACGCCGCCAGGGACTCAAATCCTGCAGTGCCAGACGTGTCCCCCTGCTTAAGCCAGTACATGTCAAGGCCCGTCTCAAGTTTGCTAGAGAGCATTTGGATGATCCAGACGATGACTGGGAGAATATCATATGGTCAGATGAAACCAAAATAGAACTTTTTGGTAAAAACTCTACTCGTCATGTTTGGAGGAGAGAGAATGCTGAGTTGCATCCAAAGAACACCATACCTACAGTGAAGCATGGGGGTGGAAACATCATGCTTTGGGGCTGTTTTTCTGCTAAGGGACCAGGACGACTGATCTGTGTGAAGGAAAGAATGAATGGGGCCATGTATCGTCAAATTTGGAGTGAAAACCTCCTTCCATCAGCAAGGGCATTGAAGATGAAACGTGGCTGGGTCTTTCAGCATGACAATGATCCCAAACACACCGCCCGGGTAACGAAGGAGTGGCTTCGTAAGAAGAAGGTCCTGGAGTGGCCTAGCCAGTCTCCAGATCTCAACCCCATAGAAAATCTTTGGAGGGAGTTGAAAGTCCGTGTTGCCCAGCGACAGCCCCAGAACATCACTGCTCTAGAGGAGATCTGCATGGAGGAATGGGCCAAAATACCAGCAACAGTGTGTGAAAACCTTGTGAAGACTTACAGAAAACGTTTGATCTCTGTCATTGCCAACAAAGGGTATATAACAAAGTATTGAGATGAACTTTTGTTATTGACCAAATACTTATTTTCCACCATATTTTGCAAATAAATTCTTTAAAAATCAGACTGTGATTTTCTGGATTTTTTTTTCTCATTTTGTCTCTCATAGCTGAGGTATATCTATGATGAAAATTACCGGCCTCTCTCATCTTTTTAAGTGGAAGAACTCTCACTATTGGTGGCTGACTAAATACTTTTGTGCCCCACTTTAATTCTGACTCCCGTGCTGCGGTGGCGCTAAAACTATTTTGCCCTCCTACCTCGCTTCCTCCAGCCATCACCCTCTTTCTGCATGCACACATACAGTCGTGGCAGAGGAAAAAGAAGATGTGTTCTTGAGTATCTAAAATAATCGGATCATTGGATCAGGAAATCGATACTGAATCAAATCGCCATGATGGGTGTGATTTACACCCCTACCCCCTGTACACTACACCACACACAATCAGGCTGAAAGTTGGCCCGATCGAAAAATTATTGCACGACTAAGTAAGCCCGGCTCGAGCAACAATCAAAGCAGATTAAATCCCTTAATCCCAAAACATTTAAAATATTTTATCTGACAGACCAACACAAAGTCATGTATCATAACAAATATGAAAGAACAATTAAATTTATGGATGCATATTAATTGATGTTTATAATTTTTTCAAGCTCTTAGACATCGGTTGTTAATGGCATTTCTAAAGGATTTTCAGATCCCCCAAAACATAATGCTGCCACCACCGTGCTTCAGTTTAGTGTGGGCGTATTTACGATGTAAAGGTCAATCTCCCTCTTATCTGAGCGGCCCTGTCAAGGCTTTCCTATTTTCAACGACTAATTACTGCTCTGATGACAGATTCAACCATCAGAGTCGTGGATTTCTGCAGCTCCCATAACTTCTGAGTAATGCTCTCCTTAATGCGACTGACGGTGCAGACAGATTGTCTTATCTCAGTATCTATTTTCAGATCATGTACTGAATGGTTCCCTGTTAGATGTTCCATGTAGCCCTGCTTTAACTTTAGGACTTTCAGACCCGTCTGCTGTGTAGGGTTGGGCATCGACAACAGAAACGAGATGCTATAAAAGCCCAAAATTAAAGGGAAGTAATATAAATTTATCTCTTATTCATTGATTTTTTAAAATACATTTAATCTAGAATTGCATTGAAAAATAAACATATTAACCAAATTTTATTGTTATTTTAAATTGAAAAACAGATGAAAGAATGAAACATTGATTCAAAATGGATACGGAAGAATGTTTTGGTCTTTATTATATTTATATTTTATGCGCTGCAGAGATTTTCTTACACAGTTACAATGTGCAGCAAAAACCATTGAGGAAGCGTGCAGCTTAGAAAGAACATGGGGCGGATGTCAGCAGGGAACGGCAATCATTAACCTCAATAAACCTTGAATTATTTCGTTTGCAGGAAGTTATATACTTCCCCACAAATATATTAAAAATCTCTGCAGACGTAAAGGTTATTATGTGTGTTAGAAATGGTGTGTTAGGTTTATAGTAGGCAGCTGCCATTACACTGGTTGGAAATGTTTCATGATTGCGGGATTATTATATAAAAGCAACATATTTCTATTACGTTGGTGGTTTATTACATTTAAAGAGGTTATAGTCCTTCAAAGTGAGTTCCTTTGTGTTTGCTAGCCATTCATTTCTTTGTCTAAACAAAACAAAAATGGAAATTCACACATCATCTTTCCACCCTCCGGTGTTCGTAAACGTTTCTCCTGTCATGCTAAGGGCCCTAACCCCTTGTTATTCCCTCAGCATAAATCAGATGGTATTATAAGAATAAATTATCTCCGATTTGGAAAAATCATTCTTGTATTAAGATTCGGTTTGAACGCGTTCAAAATGCTTAAAGATACATTTTGGTTCTAAAACATAAAACTATGAAATGCTTCATTTTATTAATAATGGTTTCCCATCATTTCCATTTCTTTTCTTCTATTTGTACAAGTATGTTTGTGTAGTTTGGTTTCACTTAGTCAAGAGTTGTTACTGATTAGTTGATTTGTTTTGTTAATTAATGCTGGTTTTGAAATGAGTTTTTTTTTATGCCGTATGTGTGCAGAGTCAACAGATCAGCTGGAAGCGCTTACCCCGTACTCAATAGCCAGGTCTGTGTGATCATCGATGTCAACTTTTGCCATGGCAACGCGGCCTTTCTGCTTAGCAACAGCCTTCTCCAGCCTCGGCCCAAGGATCTTACAAGGACCACACCACCTAAAGGACAACCACAGCGTTAGTCAGACTGTCGACCGTCGCTAAACTACTGCATGGGAAAAAACTAATTTAATCCAGATCAAGAGAGGAAAAAAAAAAAGGTGTCATTTAGGGACATTTTCAGGGTAGAAGCTGGAGGTAGATTGAAACATCAGCCAGCTGGTATTTTCTCCTTGCATCAGCTGATGTTTGCATCATTTCCCTGCTGCTTTTAGCCGCCACGTCTTAAGATCACCTAAAGCACATGCATCGGCGCTCCCTCCCTGTGCTATTCAATGTTAATGTTTTGCTTGATTTGTCTATGTTCATTTTTTTTTAAGTTAAGTCTTGTGTAACATTATTTAGTAACATTATTTATTATGTAAATGAAAAAAAAGATATATCAGCTTCCAGAAAAGGCCCAATAAAGTGCACTTTTTTCAAATTACGTTCTACTGATCAAATTCTCTTCTTCTCAAGCGTAACACAAATGCTAGCTTTTTTCCCGCATATTGACCGATAAAAAGGTTGCCCTTAATGCACATAAAGACCGCCCCTAGAAGTAAAGAGAACCTGATTATAAAATATTGTGTTAAAAGAATGCAATTTGTAAAAAAAAAAAAAAAAAAAATTATATAAAATGTGTAAAACAATATTCTTAAAGAATAAAATGTACAGGAAATAAAGAAAACAACTTGAAAAGGAGAAATAAAATCTAAATGTGAGAAGACAGCAAAAAGCTACTTTTTTTTTTTAAATAAAAACATTTTTTAAATTAACATGCCTTACAAAATGATTCCTTTCCTTTAATCAATAATGGAGCAATATTAACTCCATAGCCGAGTGTTTCTGAATGACGCCTCACTTTAAAAGACTAGTTTCCACTGCATGTGTTTCCCATCGGCAATTCCAAATAACCACCATCATCATCAGCCGACTTCGACTAGAAATAACATTTAACTTTTTACAATTAAACTGAGGCTCATTGAAAGCATCATTCAAGTTCTGCTCCTCCCAGTCCTCGCTGTTCGACTCATCTCAGATTCAAGAACTAATTATTTATGCCGTCATGGAGCTAAGTGTGGTAGCTAAACATAAGAGGGGAGGAACTAGCAGAGGAAATGATCTCTTCAGTCAGTGTGTTTAACGCAGAGCTCACTAGCTACGCTAACATGGACATAAGCAATCAGAATAAACGGCGGATCAGACTGAAAATAAACTTCTCCCCACCATGTAACGCTGTCATGTTTTAGTATGTTTTTGCTTTGGGGCGTCAGGCTTCAGCTAGAGGAGCGGGAATCTGAGCGTCCCTGCTGAACCGCTCCCTGAGCTTAGGCTGCATCTGTAACAAGGTTCTGGTATTAAATCATGGATCAGTAACCAACACATCAGACCTGTAGGTAACCATCATGATAGCGTCATGTTGGAAACCACTGGAGATCTTAAAGAAATAACTTACAATCCTTTTATCTGATTGGCTGTTCACATCGTGACAAGGCTGCATGTTTTTAAATCTCCATCTCTGATTGGGTGATAAGATGTGATGACATCATTACAGGGAGAAGCCACTAGGATCTGATTTTGGCCTCAGACCAGCCGTTATGAACCAGGATAGTTGCTTAGAGTTTATTTCTATAATTCCTTCCTAACCTTTCACCCCCTCTCTAACAACACTGAACGAAAAAAAAAAAAACTTTTTTTTGTATCTCCAAAGCTTATTTAACATTTTGACCGCTTCTCTTCACAATCATTGTTCCTTCTTCCCTTGTAGTAATTCCCTGCAGAAGCGACATCTTTATATTCTCTCATTCGTCTTTGTTTCTTTTTACTTGATGCAATCATTAGGATAAAGCCAGACACGTGATTATCCACGAACAGAATGCTTGATTTTACTGACAATCAATGAATCCTGAGTTTGATCAATAAACACTGTCTCCACAGTTCATCCTTTAAACGTCTGATAGGAAAAAAGTCCTTCAGCTTTGAGACCTGGAGGCTAATGAGTGAATGAATGAATCTGTGCAGGATCTCGCGGCTACAATGTCAATCCTGGGAAGGTCACAAAAACCCGTCATTAGTAGAAATATTCAGATTTAGTCCCTCTTTGCTCTAAAAACTTTACATTTTCCCTATTTTTTATTTGTAAAAATCAGCAATCACTATTTCTTACACATGTCGGTACTACTTTGTCTCAAACTGTAAAGTAAATTGAAGTTTATGGTCAGAGCATGATAAAACATGCAGGAAATAGAAAATCTTTTCAATGTTTACTATCAGAGCCATCACTGGACATCTGTTTTTTTTTTTATTTTTCACCTTTAAAGTTCTCTGACGTTTTGGGCTTCAGTTTAAACCTGAATGAAAGGCTGGAATGTGAGGGGCTTTTTTTTCTTTTTTTTTCTGTGGGCTTGTAGTTCAAGCCACAAAAACCCCACAAGAGGGCGCTCTCGACAAGGGTCAGCTCCATTTAGTTGTTTTGTTTTCACCAAAAAATGGATTAAACATGAACACAGATCAATCATGTAAGTAAAATTCTAGTTTTACTCCTTTAAGATTAATATTCACACATCTGTAAGTGTCGGCCCGTAAGGAAATAACTCCCTGAAATACTCACTGTGCGTGAAAGTCGATCAGCACAGGCAGGTCGCTGTTGATGACCCTCTCTGTGAAGTCCTCCTGGTCCTGAACGTTGAAGGAGACCGCTCGGCGAGGGGGATGGGAAACGGCGAGGCTTCGTGACTGGGCGAGGAAGGACACCCGGATCGGGGCAGAATGAAGAGAGGTGGAAAAAGAAGAGCAGGAGACGGTGGCAGTGGATGATGGGAGGCAGCGGACATCTTTGACGGAGAAGGTCCAGATTCTGCGCAGTAGGAACCGGTGTGCCATCTGACGTAAATAAAACAAAAAGAGCAGAGAATTAATGATTATTCCTATTAAAGGACAAAATCGGTCTGGCTTCTGCACTTTTTATACAATAAAAAAAGGAGACTTGTAAAAAGCAGCCATGTTTACTGACATTCAGTATCCCTGTGTCAGAGATTTCTGTGCGTACTAAAGAGCAAACACGGCGAAATAGAATTCCCCATGAGATCAAGTATTTGATGAAAAGATAAAGGTTTAGAGAAGACAAACATAACCAAAATAAAAACATTTCTGATCTGGTCTAGACAGAAATAACTGTAAAATAATCTAAGGTAGAATGACACTGACACAAGAAGCATGAAGAATCCGAAACTTTTAGGAAAATATTAATGAAATAAAAATCTAACTAGACTCGATCCATGTTGGAATAATGTTTAAAAGGTGCCAAAACACATCATCTGCCAACTACTTTGACTATAAGTAAATTCATATTAAATATCAGCAGTACGCTGGTTGTAGTTATTTTGGTCTAATCTGAGGTTATAATCCATAATATTTCCTAAAAAAGACAAAAAGCAGATTCTCATTAGTTTAAGTGGACTAAAGTGAAACAATAAATATGTAATATTCTGGGAGGGTGAAACTAAACAGTCAAAGTATGTGTGAGATTTGATTAGTTAAAGGATTATGTATTAAATATCTATAAAAACAACAAAGACGTGATGTTTGAGTAGGTGACGTATGAAATGGAAGCAGGGAGGAATAAACAGGACTTCGAACTTACTAAGCAGCGAACAAGGCCCAAACCCGTCAGGCTAAAACAGGAACATTTAGAGTATAATCCCAGCACAAAATGTTCCACCTACATCAAGGATTATAATAATACTAATTTAATGTGTAACTGGCATAGATTTGACATCTTACACGGTTCACACTGCATTTTAAAATCCATGTAGTTAAGAAGATGTATTCATATTTTCATCCAAGTCGTGTTTTCACACATAAACATTTGTTTTCTGCACATTTCTTTAATCTGATTCGTTCCTTTCAATTTTAGAGTTAGTTCAATACGGCTGTTAACCAGAGCACATCTCTACTAATGAATCAACTAATATATATTTATCAGAATGTCTAGACTTTGAAACAAAAAAAGGTGCTTAAGCTTCAGTCTTTATAGTAAAACAGTAGTGAAAAAAATAAATAAATATATATATATATATATATACACATTTATACACACACACACACACACATATATAAATATTTTTTTTTATTCATTTATTTATACATCTATCTTAGGGCTGCAACTTATCTCTTGATTATTTTTTAGATTTTTCAATTAATGGATTAATAATCTTAAGTTTTTGCGGAATCAAACCAGGTGAAACTAAAAGTTTTCCACTTGAGGAGTTCTGGATAGAGCAGATTGACAGATGAAAAATATTTTTTTAATCTTAAATGCAAAATGTTTACATTTTCTTTTTACAATTTGGACATAATTGGTCAGTGGCTCTCAGTTGAATGCAACTTTTAGAGTCTCTATTCTCCAGTTGACAAGTAATCGATTACCAAATTATAAATTATTTGAATAATTGATTTATCTGATTAATTGTTTCAGCCCATATATATATATATATATATATATATATATTTTTTTTTTTTTTTTTTTTTTTTCCCTTAAGAGATTTTAGAGAGATTTTCCTTAAGAGAGCTGATACATAATATTTTAACCTCTTAGAGCTATTGGTAACAAATTATGTTAGAAAACTAATTTCTTAACTTTCCCCTGAGTGTTTTTAGGCCCTTTGGGATCCCATACCTTAAAAACCCAAAATTTTGTTCTTAATGACTGACTGACCAAAAATTTAACTAAATCCAACACAAATGTAATAAAATAATAAAAATAATTCAATGATCTTAACCAGCGAGCTCCTTTTAGTTTTGCAGGTCTTTTTCTCCTCCACATACAGTCATGTTGAGCAGCTGTCATAAACTCACAGTCATAATAAACACTAAACCAGGCCGGAAGTTTAATATCTGAATAACTTTTCTTCCTCGGTAACAGCCGCTCCTTTCTCAACAAGTTTGTCGGAGTTTCTAGTCGGTTTGTTCCTGTTCTCCCTGTCAATCTACCGCTGCTTCTCTCCTCCATTAATCCACGTTACGTATGGCTTTGCCCTCTACGCCCTCCTCCTCCTCCTCACAGGCTCCTCTCCTCATGGAGCACACTGACCTCCCCGACCCAAACACTCTGACTGTCCCGTCCTAAAAGTCCCACACGGCTTCGCAGAACCGAAAAAAGGACTCCAGAGTTTCTGTCAGCCTTACCTTGATGTTTGGTAACCGCTGAACCTGGCCTCACGGACCAGTGAAGTGCTTCCGTTCTCAGCTTCTTCTGCTCTCTCTTCTTCCTGAGGAGCGCCATCGTCTGGACAAGTTGAAAAGTGCACAGCGAGGGATTGCACCAAAGAATATTATATTATATTATAAAATACAAAATAACATGTACAGAAACTACATTTAATAAAGTTGTAAACCCCTGCTATGGTGCTACTAATTAAAGGTACAATAACATATTCAGAAATTGCTCTAAAAAAAATCATCTTTAACTATAGAAGGTTTTGATTTTATTGACAAAAAATGTATTTATAAGAACCACCTTGACATCGGAATTTTTTCCATCAACCTTAAGAAGAATTTTTTTTTTTCCAAAAAGTATGATGATACCTCTTTAAAGAAAATTAGAACCAGATATATTTTCACTTCCACTTCCACAGAAAGAAAAGGAAATCCATTTCAAAATTATGTATGACATTCACCCCTGTAATGATGCTTTATATAGAATATTTAACATAACTACCAATTCTTAATACGCTTTCGTAAATTCTTGTGTATTTTGTGATTCAGATATTAAAACAGCAGAACATCTATTTTTTCAGTGCAATATCATAAATATTCTTTGGATGGATTTTCAAAATTGTATCTTAAGGAAGACTTCTTTACCACTTTTGAATTTTGATATAATAACATTTGTTTGTTTTTTTTAACGGGGGATAGAAAATCAAACTATGGTAATAACCATTTAATTCTTTTGGCCACATTTTTCATACATAAGTGTCGGTTTCAAAAAATTACCCCATCTCTAAATATTGAGAGATACTTTAAATAAAAGTACTAACGCATTGTAAAAACCCTAAAGCCCAATCAATTATGCAATATATTGAGAATTTACTTAAAATTCAAGAGTCCGTTTTGATGTTTTTTTTATTGTATTTTTTTACATTGTTCTACGATCTGTTATTTTTGTTTTTCTAATTGTATATAGGTTCTCTGTATGATTCTATTTCTTATATTATACATCCTCTGTTCAGCTTCCTAAGATATTCAATTCACAATTTTGTACAATTGTTTTGATATGCCTTGTAATACTTTGATTCTTCAATAAAAAAAAAAAAAATCTTCTTCTTCTTCTTGTGAGGTTTTATGGTGGTTGGCAAACTAGATAAAAGCGCATTACCAACTTATAAGGAATTAAACAAGGAGACAGGAAACAAGACTCATCGCCAGAAAAATAAAATAAAATAAAACCTAAATAGGTTTTTGATATGCAACTTGTAGAACAGAATTTGTGTACTCGTACTTAAAATTTCAACAGGTGTAGGGAAATTTTGCACTTGTGATTTTTTTTAATTCTACAAATACAAAACTTAGAACTTAACTCTCTACAACATCAAATTCGCGTACAATGCACAAATAGTTTTGAAACAAAATAACCTTCATACAATTAAGTCACTAATTACAAGTGAGCACATGATTATAACGCTAAATCACAGGCGTAACTGAGGTGTAACATCATCGGATCTGTCGCTTTGAGACATCTGATTGGCAGTCGCTTTTCATTGTATACGAAGTAGCTACGTGGTTGAAGGAGAGACACACGGCAGCACTCAGTGAATATTAACCAGCAGCTACTTCTATAGATGATTATTTAAAAGTTAGGAGACGGGTTGGTTGGTTAAAAAAAATAGAGATGCCACCGAAAAATCTGTTCGTTAGACACACTAAGCTTTTTCAGCTAAAAACAAGAGATTATAAGTTTATACAAGTTAGTAATATAATGCAAGAAGCTTGAGAAAACAGTTTAAATGTTGCGTTCTTCTTTACTAGTTAAGTTTTAATGAAAGTTGGTGGTGGTGCTCTAAGGGTGGGGGCTGATGGATCTACAGTTACTCGACCCGAACGCTTTAAATGGGTTTTTGTATTTTCCAAAAATGAGCTAAAACATATATTTATTGAATCTTTTCTTATTGTTGAGAACACAAGAGAACCATCATACACTGATATTTACATTTATAGGAAGTCAGAAATGCCTTTTAGTGCATTATATGTATAGGACCCAAAAACATTAATGTATAAAGAAATAAGGAATAACAGCCGATTCCGATGCCAAAATAGATATATCGTGCATCCCTAGAAGTACAACGTCAATTCCATCCAACCATCCAGAAAAATATGGATATTCTGCATTTTAAACATAACAATTTAGTTTCCTGTAAACTCTCTGGTAAACTTGGAGATATATTTTATTGCATGTTGCATATCCCAGTAAATCTGTTTCACCTTTAAATCTGCAGCTCTCCCTACTTCTCTCTGTGCTGGTTATGAACCTCTTTACTAATATGATGATGCCAGAAACTAAATTTCCAGATATGTAGAAGCTCTGCAGTCTGATTCTATCTGATCAATAAGAAAACATGTTAATTTTAAGCTGTAACTGAGAGTCATGGTCCTCTGAGAAGCCAAGATCTTTTTAACCAGTAAAAAAAAACGTTGAAGTAGCTGCCGGTTAATATTCACTGAGTGCTGCTGTGTGTCTCTCCTGCTTCCAGAGGCATAGCCAGAAAACTTTTATAAGGGTGGCCAGGTAATAACCATTGTACACTAAGGGATGGCTGAAAGTGGATAGGCACCAGAACCTCAGAGTCAATATACACTGTTCTAATGGGAAAATTAACAAGCAAAACATCCATATTTTCTAAATAAAGACAAACTATATTTTCCAACAGCCTTTACTAACAATGCATATATTTAAAGATCCGTGCTTTCTAGATAAATGGTATATTGGATACAAATCTTTTAGGTTTGAGTTCTGAGGCGAGCATCTTTTCCATTATCATTACTTACTTTTATAAACAATCATTCTGCATAAAACTGATATTTACAAGTCATAATATCTACATAAATGGATTATTTATTAAACAAGATCACGCTAAATTTGTCCCTTAGATAATTTATTTTTCATCTTTACAGTTTACTTGAACAATTAACTTGTAATTACAGTAGTAATAACAGGTTGTGTCTGAAAATACACTCTTGTCCTGTTTTTTTGTTGTTTTTGTTTTGTGTTATTTTTTCTTTGCCCCAATGAAAAAACTCTGGCCTCACCCTGTTATTCCTGGTAAATTTCCTCTACAAATGTTGTTTCAGCCTGGAACTGAGGTATATCAGGCTTGTAATGGAACTTATAAATATAGGTTTTTTAAAATAAGTNGATTGGGGTCACATTTCATTGTGTACAAAGTAGCTGCGTGGTTGAAGGAGAGACACACAGCAGCACTCAGTGAACACTAACCAGCAGCTACTTCTATAGATGATTATGTAAAAGTTAGGAGACGGGTTGGTTGGTTAAAAAAAATGCCGCCAAAAAATCTGTTCATTAGACATACAGAGCTTTTTCAGCTAAAAATGGCAATGGATTGTAAGTAAATACAAGTTAGTTATACAATGCAAGAAGCTGGAGAAAATATATTTTAAATGTTGCTTTCTTTTTTACTATTCAAGCAAAGCCGGGCTTCTCAGAGCAAGGGTGTAACTTTGTCATGGAAGTTGGTGGGGGCGCTCTAAGGGTGGGGGCTGATGGATCTACAGTTACTCGACCCAAACGCTTTTAAATGGGTTTTTGTACTAGAATACAAAAATGAGCTCAAACATATATTTATTGAATGTTTTCTTATTGTTGAGAACACGAGAGAACAATCATACACTGATATTTATATTTATAGGAAGTTAGAAATGCCTTTTAGTGCATTATATACACTGCCTGGCAAAAAAAAGTCGCCAACTAAGCAAATAGGTATGAGCCTCCTATTGGATAATTACTGCAGGTTATTTAACCCCAACTGGTGCAATGACTTGCTTCTCATTTCCTAAACAACTATGTGGTCGTGGAAAAGATGTTAGTCTGTTTAAGAACTGTCCAACGCATTATTAAAAACTGGAAGGACATTGGGACCCTTAATTTTAAGGAAGAAATGTGGCCTGGATAAAATCTTGAATGATCGTGATCGGCGATCACTTAAACGTGTGGTGAGATCAAATCGAAGAAAAACAACAGTAGAACTCAGGGCTATGTTTAATACTGAAAGTAAGAGCATTTCCACATGCACAATGCGAAGGGAACTCAAGGGATTGGGACTGAACAGCTGCGTAGCCGTTAGAAAACCACTAATCAGTGAGGCTAACCGGAAAAAAAGGCTTTAGTTTGCTAGGGAGCATAAAGATTGGACTGTGGAGCAATGGAAGAAGGTCATGTGGTCTGATGAGTGCAGATTTATCCTGTTCCAGAGTGATGGGCGAATCAGGGTAAGAAGAGAGGCAGGTGAAGTGATGCACCCACCATGCCTAGTGCCTACTGTGCAAGCCTGTGGGGGCGGTGTTATGATCTGGGGTTGCTGCAGTTGGTCAGGTCTAGGTTCAGCAACAGTATGTGCTTAAAGAATGAGGTCAACTGACTACCTGAATATACTGAATGACCAGGTTATTCCATAAATGGACTTTCCCTTCACTGATGGCACAGGCATATTCCAAGATGACAAACCAGAATTCATCGGGCTCAAATTGTGAAAGACTGGTTCAGGGAGCATGACACATCATAGAACTGATATTTACAAATACTAATATCTACATAAATTGATTATTTATGAAACAAGACTACACTTAAGTTGTCCCTTAGACAATTAAATTTTTCATCTTTACAGTTTACTTGAACAATTAACTTGAAATTACAGTAATAAGAGGTTGTGGCTGACTTAAATGAAAAATACACTCTTGCTCTGTTTTTTTGTTGTTTTTGTTTTGTGTTATTTTTTCTTTGCCCCAAATGAAAGAACTCTTGTGATTTCTGGTAAATTTCCTCTACAAATGTTGTTTCAGCCTGGAACTGAGGTATATCAGGCTTGTAATGGAACTTATAAATATAGCTTTTTTAAAATAAGCGTCATGAGTCATTTGCACCCAAATACACAGAGTTATAAAATCAGTAAATTGTGTTAACAGGACAGATTCCTTCCTGAAAGCAAACATGCATCCTTAAGAGTTTAGTATTAATTAATTCAAAGCAATGGTTTCTTAAAGG